GAATGAAAATACTGAGCATTATTTCACATACAAGAAGTATCTTCGAACTTATTTGCGTATTTTAAATTATATTTTTATACTAGAAATTTCTTGAGATCCTAAAATTCCTAGAGTTGCAGTTTAGGCTATCGTCCTGTTAACGCCAATTATCTGACAAGCAAAAGATAGTATTTTTAACTACAACAAGTTCAGGTCTAACCAGACAAGTCAACACGTAAGAAGATTTTTAGTTAAGTTTTAAATCTTATTTTGGTAAAAGTATATTTACGGGTAACCTTGGAGAAAATTGGCAATTTTGGGCTGTACATGGATACCGAGTTAGTGCAATTCTTTGACTTGTTATTTTGGCTTTGTGTAGCGGCGATTTTAGTCCCCAAAATCGCCGCTACACAAAGACAACATAACAAGTCATAGAATTGCACACACTCTGTATCCATGTACACATTGACCTATTTTCACTTAAAAAAATCGCAGAATGGCACAAACTAGGCATTGCGCACTCCCTTCATTCATGTATACGTCGATCTATTCTCAATTTAAAAAAAAAATCAAATAATTGCACAAATTTGGCATTGCGCACTTCCTTCACTTTGTCCATATACACATCGATATATTTTCAATTAAAAGATCAAAGAAGCACCCATTTCTATAGTAGAGGCAAACAAAAATACATAATCTCAATAAACTACATTTTAAACCAAAGAATTACATCACATAAAAAAATAAAATCCTTTTATGCATCTAAGCACCACACAAAGCAAATATTCACTTATCTTATTTAGAAATTTCATCATCTTCAGTCTGTGGCATACAAATATGTTTGACAAAATTATTTCATTTGATTCAAAAGGAAGCTAAGTAGTTTTGTCACTTGTGAATCCGATAAAAGTTTAAAGATTTGCTGACCTTCGAAATTTGAAATTCTACGATGAATCTGTTTTTGTTTTTTTAAATTTATATATTTACTATTTTCAGGGGTTATTTATTTTTCATTTTCAAATAAGATCTGAGACACATGTTAACGTTGACATGCCTAAATTTGTTAAAATATGCGAAAATTTTGTGTTATCGTTGGAGAAGTTGGAGAAGTTGAAATCCAACTTCATCTAGATAAAGTTGGATTTCACATTACCTTATCCATAAAGGGGATATTTTATTTCCAAATGTGAGGTATTCCAAATGTGAGGTATATTCCCTATGAATGTAATCCGTCACACTTTCTTCTGGAAAATGCGTTTTCATCATTTTCCAGACCAGCATTACCTCCGGAAGAAAAAAAAGGGAGAAAGAGTCCCGTTTTAGCTACCGAGAGAAAAGGATCTGTAGCAGTCAACCTATTAGCCGGTTGACAGCATTTATTTTGAAAAAAAAAATTAAGTCAAAAGGAAACGGGGGGAAACAAAGAAATAAACATACCTCTTTGTACTTCTTTCATTACTTGGGACGCTGATAATAGCAGATAATGGCAGAAATAATATTTTAAGAAACAGAATTCAGTTATAAAGCCCACCACTGCTGTACGCGCAATCATTACACTGTTGTCACATAATTAAAAATACTGCCGGAAGTGAGAGTTGCATACTTCTGTATTACCAAACACCTTTAATGAATATGGATGTTTTTTTTTTTCGGATTATTTAGGGAGGGCTTATTTAGTAAGAGTTTTTATCGTCATATCTGTATGAAGAGTTTCGCTAGGCAGTTGAAAATACACGTGACTTAGCAATTATTTAAAATTGCAGGTGAGTCAGAAGTCGTAGAAGTTTTGCAGAATGAATTGCAGTTTAGCTCTCGGAATAGTTGATGATAATTTAGTAAGTTAATGCAGCTGCCAGTCCTCAGTAGGGTATTGATGGGGCGCTACTCTGTGACCCCATATGGTAACTGGTGCTGCTTGCATTTCTTTAGGATTAGTATCACTAACTGCATGTTGAACCAAAAATGCGTTTATTATAAATCTGCGAAAATTTCTGTTAACAATACAATAATGACAACTGTTGCATCCAGCAAACATTCATTAACATTTTTGACGACATTTACGGCTTGAATAGCAGGCTGCTGCTACCCCAGTGCATTATTATTATTTATTTCTTATCGTTATCGTTACTTCTAACTAATTAATCAAGGTAAAACAAAACTGCTTACCTTGTTCCAATGGGTTCTGCCAGGGCCACGGGTTGAAGCTCCTCTGTGCAATTCTATCTGCAAAATCTTTAAGGGAATAATCCATAAATGACTTTCTTTACACAAACATATTTAATGAAGACGCAAACGGGTTACAGAATCTTTACATGATGAAAATGGTTTTAATTTTCGCACGACGCAGCGTGCGACTTCTCAGTTCCGTGTTCTCGTGAGCTCCCCGCGAGAGTTCATAATTCGAGATGACGTCACTCAGCCATCGGATCTCAGCAAGAGTTGAGTTGCATTATCCTCCCGCCCGAAAGGACAATTGCTGTAATTGTCCTTATTACATTCCAGCTCCCCTGGATATAGCAGTCTTTTAATTGTATGGCCATTGGGCAAGCGGACAGGACAGACTCTCACCTTGCCATCTCTTCCAGGAAAGATTTCCAATATAATGCCTATCTTCCACATCAGCCTTGGAATTTTATCTTTATGCACTAATACAATAGTTCCTTTCTTCAAACAGGTTCCTGTTTTCGCCAGTTTGGAATGATGAGCAGATTTTAAATTCATCAAATAATCCTGCCTCCATTTTCGCCAGATTCTTTCTACCAGTATCTGTTGATGTCTAAATCGACGTGTAAGACTCTCCTTTGTTGAAGTTAATTTAGACCTTCCTTTCGGCAATGATAGTAATCGTCTTCCTATTAAGAAGTGACCAGGGATCAAAGATTCTGGCTCTCCTAGATCCGAGTAGGTAAATGTTAAAGGTCTGGAGTTCAATATAGCTTCCACTTCTGTTATGACTGTCTCTAATTCCCTGAATGTCAAGAATGATTTGCCAAGGATTCTCTTCAGAAGAGCTTTCAGAGACTGAATCATACGCTCCCAAAAGCCTCCCCACATTGCTGCCTTCTTAACTATAATTTTCCATTTGATTCCTTGCTTAGAGAACTCGTCTTGAACTTTATTGCTTTTCATCACCTCTTTCAGTAGCTCTAATTCATTTTTCGCTCTTTTAAAGGTTTTGGCGTTATCGGTACACACTATTCAGCCCAAACCTCTTCTCGCTATAAATCGTCTAAATGCAAACGAAAATTCTATGGAAAGGTCAGCTGTAAGTTCTAAATGCACGGCTCTAGTTACAGCACAGGTAAACAGTAAAACGTATGTCTTAGATAATTCTCTTCCACTTTTGACGTATAGTGGACCCGCGTAATCCATTCCGGAGTTCTCAAACGCAAAAGCTTCTCGGCATCTGTCTGGTGGGAGAGGTGCCATATCGTGCATGACAGGTTTCGTTCGAAATATTTTGCAGACATTGAAATTGTACAGAACGCTTTAAATTTTTCGACGAGCCTTCAGCAAACAAAATTTCTCTCTTATCTGATTTAAAGTATCTGCTATTCCTCCGTGCCCTACCACCTGATGACTGTGAAGAATAATTAGATCAGTCAAATGACCCTTGTCGGGCAACACGATTGGATGTGCTTGTTTGTAATCCAAATTTTAATTTTCTAATCGTCCACCAACACGAATTACACCACTTTCGTCTACAAATCGACTGAGGGACTTCAGTTTTGATTTTGAACCAAATTCCTCGTTGTGCATCAATGCCGTATTTCATTTGTGAAATTTCGCTCTTGAACACGTTTGATCCAATAAGTTTTGGCCATTTCCAATTCGGTAACCTGCAAACATCCTGATAATTTCGAGGTACTTTTAACATTGTTGATGAACCTTAAGCACCACGCAGTAATTCGGTAAATTCGATGTAAATTGCTGTAATTTTGGGTTTTAAATAAATCTTCGGAAGGTTCGGTAACACAAGACTTCTTTTGATTTTTCAAAACTTTTTTTGATGTTTTTCTTAGTTCCTTGTTGGAATCTTCAATGTTCTTTGTAGAACATAAATTCGGTTTTGGCCAGTGTTCCATTTCTTCATTTATCCATGTGAGCCCTTCCTCCATATGCTATTCTGCTTCAGATGTTTGACATTTTCATCTCTAATTAGCAAATCAGCTGGATTATGTTCACCAGGCGTATATCTCCAGTTCAAGACATCTGAATTCTTCTGTATTTCATTCACTCTGTTCTGAACGAATGGCTTCCACCTTTTCACATCACTTCGAATCCAGTGTAACGTTATACTAGAATCAGTCCACATATATACAATTAAATCAATGTCCGGAAGTTTCTTTTAGATGTATTTTGACAAGCGAGAGCCTATCAAAGCACCCATCAATCTGGGAAGTGATAATTTTTTCAAAGGTGCTACTCTTGATTTTGATGTAATGAAGCTAGTACGAATGACTCCCTTTTCGAATAACGAAAATACAGAACAGCCCCATAGGCCTTCTGACCCGCATCTGTGAAACAGTGTAACATGTAAGACCATCCTTTACATCCCGTTTTCCCAGCACCTGAAAACTGATGTCTTGGTATTTCCTAAACTAGCAAATATGAGCTAATTCATCACACCAGCTTTGCCAATTCTTTCTGAGATTTTCTGGTATTTCAGTGTCCTCATGCTATCTTTTGTCTCCCATAAATCTTCGCAATAAAATCCTAGCTCGAATGGTGTATAGATTTAAAAACCCCTAGTGGATCAAAGAAACTACTATGATCTACTATGAGAAAAACGTCCTACAAATCTCAAGATTTCCCTTTTAGTGAGTATGTTATCTATCCTTTTGGCATCCTTTTACCAAATCTTCAATTTCTGTCAAAAATGTATCATTTGACCTATTCCATATGTATCCCAGTACTTTAGAACAAGTCGAATCTTCTGAAAAATCTTTCTTCATTCCATACCCTTTGTAAATTCGTTTCAATTTGTTTTCCACTTTCCGCATGTTAAATCCACCTTCTTTTCAGTATGCGTTTAATATGTTCCGATTCTCCTCTAATGCTTTTGATTCTTCATCTGCTCCAGCGATTAAATCGTCAACATACATATTTTCAGCTAGCATGGAAAATACGTTCGGATACTGTGACTTGTATTTGTCAGCGTGTACATTAAGAGTTGCTCTGAGAAGAAACGGACTAGATGTTGCTCCAAAAATTACCCTTGTCATACGAAGAGCCTTTGTTTTGGTTCCATTTAATTCACCATCGTTCCATAGAAACTTCACTGCGTTTCTGTTTTCCTCAGCAAGAGAAATCTGCAAGAATGCTTGTTTGATTTCAGCTGTAAACGCAATTCGATTTTGACGGAACTTACGGAGCAATTTCAATATGTCTGGATACATCTTGGGACCTGAATGTAAACAGTCATTTAATGACAAACAATTCTCCGCATGTGACGAAGCGTCAAAAACCACACTTAGGTTTGTAGTTTCCTTGTTTTCTCTTATAACGGCTTGATGTGGCATAAAATACGTTTTTGGTCCAATTCCAATGTTAGTCTCTTCGGCGATTCCTTCTTTTAAGTACTTATCAATTACTTTCGCAATATCTGTCATAGAACCGTGGATTATTCTGACATCTACGATTTAAAATCTTAAATCTAATTTTAGCAATCTCCAGATTATCTCCATGCTCATTTGAATTATAATTCCAGGGAAGGCGCACAATATAACGATTGTTTTCAATTTTCTCAGATCTTTTGAAACTATCGAAAACTAAATTATCTTCTAATTCGAGTTCTTTATCCGAATCATAATTTGTCCCCATAGAATCGAGCTCCCAGAGATTCTTCAGCAAACTAGACAGTGATTCGTTCTGTGTATCTATATTTATTATGAACCACAACCTTCATCGTATTCAAATTAGTTGGTGAAATTCCGTAAGCCCTTTCTGTTCCACTAATGGTAAAACCCAATTTTGTTTCAACCGCTACTAAAGAATTAGACAGTATGTGAACCTTACCCGTAACTATTTACCAATAAAAATCCGCTCCTGTCAGTAAAGAAATTTTCGGGGGTTTATTCCCTTGTCCCTATTCATCGGAAAGTTGTATGCCCTGTTTTTTAATAAAATTAACTATTTCATTTCTAGGGGAATGAATATGTGATCCATTAATGACAGGAATAATTAAAGCTTCTATTTTGATTTCATATCGATACTTCGAATTACTCAAAACGAGCCTGGTTTTTTTAACATTCTGCGCTTCAGACGTCGCGCAACCGAAAGAGAATATTTTTATTTTTTCTTCCCCAATCACCGGAAGTTTTAATTTCTTACAGATGTCCTCCCTAATAAATGTTCGCTGTGATTCTACATCAAACAACAAGTAAACGCTTTGCTGGCGCCAATTGCCTGTGTTTATAATTTCAGCTCGTGCTGTCAGAAGAAATGAGTTATTTGCTGTTGCGCAATCGGAAACAGAAGAGACTACTGCCCTTGGACGGGACTCTTGTCTGACGCATTCGTTTCGTCAGAGTGTATCAATGTATGATGTCGTCGATCGCAAATACCACAAGTTAGTTTCGATTTACACTTCCTGGCTAAATGATACCTTTTGGGGCAAACGAAACAAATTCCACTTTGCTTTAACGCTTCCTTTTTCTTCTGGAACAGACTTTTGACATGATTCTGACGTATGATTTTCAGAACAGAATAAACAGCTATTAGATAGTGATGTGTTTAACGCTGCCTCTGAAGGAATTCTCACTTATTATAATCCCGATTTCTTTCGTTGTCTCGAAAACGTTCTCGAAACTGCCGCTTATTTTCAAAATAAGATTTCTGTTTAGGGACTTCAGAATCTGTTGGCTTAATTAAAAATCCTGTATGTTCTCGACTTTCTATCTCTTTTCTTAAAAAAATTAGCAAATTTGTAATTTTTGTCTGGTTATCATCTTCATATTTCCTATTAAATTCTAGTGCTAAATCATTCGGAAATAACTTTATTAATATCGGGTTCTATAAGGTACTGTACGAATCCGGTAAAATATTACACGATTCTAATCCTCTAATTTGTACTTCACAACGATCATATAATTGTCGAAGTGCTGTCACATCGCAAGACCTTTTAACCGGAGTCAGATTTAATAAATTGTCCATGTGGGTATATATTATTAGTTCTTTGCGTCCGAGGCGATATTTTAATATTTTCACAGCCTTTCCGTAATTCTCTGCTGTTAACGTCAACCCTTTATTGCAGTTTCTGCATCGGAAGTAAGAATTGACCTTAAATAGTTAAATTTATATACCGCATGTAGACTTTCGTTTTCGGGTACAGCTGTCTCAAAATGTGCCCAAAACCCGGGTCAACTGCACACATCCTTTCCCGAAAATGCTTCCAGGGCCAATTTGGGGAGTTAAATTTTGTCTGCGATTCAGTGACAGTTTCATATGAAGTAGAATTAGCACTATGTGGATTAGTATTTAAATATCTTTTCGCGCGTAATTTCCAAACAATAATTTTACTTTCATACTCTTCTCTAGACATTATTTCATCTTCTAAATTTGCTACATCAATTAAAGTTTCAATGCCATTATCCGCTAAGATTAGCTCTTCTTCTTTACTAATTAACTGAGCAACCATTTCTTCAATTACATTTTCATCCCTCTCATTAGCAATTTCTGTTTCTATCTTATTTATCAGCCTCGTAACTACTGCTCTTATAGCAGATCGTTTCTTTTTTAATTTTTCTAAATCCATGTTTTTGCTTAAACAAAATCTATTAATCAATTCAGTTCACATTCATCCCAATGGCCCCACGTTATGGCGCCACAATGATATTATTTATTTTCCTATCGTTATTGTTGCTTCTAACTAATTAATCAAGGTAAACAAAACTGCTTACCTTGTTCCAATGGGTTCTGCCAGAGCCACGGTTTGAAGCTCGTCTGTGCAACTCTATCTGTAAAATCTTTAACTTTATAATCCATAAATGATAGATAATTTTTTTACACAAACATATTTAATGAAGACGCAAACGGGTTACAGAATATTTACATGGTGAAAAAGGTTTTAATTTTCGCACGACGCAGCGTGCGACTTCTCAGTTCCGTGTTCTCGTGATCTCCCTGCGAGAATTCATAGTTCGAGATGACGTCACTCAGCCATCGGATCTCAGCAAGAGTTGAGTTGCAACATGCATATATGTATTCTAAAACAAGTAGAGAAAAGCTTTGAAAGTTTCTACCAAATTGTATATTTTTCCCTAAATTTCATACATTGCATTAATGTAAGACAATAATTATTTGATTCCACAATTCGAAGAAGAGCTGTACATGTTTGGAACTACACAAATCTAAACTATAGTTGACTGAATTATGTATTGTAGTACTGATATTACAACATACATTTATTAAGTCATTGATTGCAGTTTCATTGGATGCAATATATTATTTTTTTATTTCCAAAGCATCAAAATTATAGTAAAGATCATGTAAAAAATAATCCACAATAATTTAAATTGAGGAATATTCGGCATTTAAAGCATTAATTTCCGTACTTGTTTTAAGTACTCGATGATTTAAAACTGGTACTGTTTTTAATACTTTGTTTAATTATTTGTAACTTTGTTTGTTAGTTTTTAAAATCTATTATGTGTTTGACTATTTTTGTTTTTACCTTGACCGTTACCGTTCTGGTAGCTCTAAGATCTTTCATGCAACGGGATTAGCAAAAATTTTTCCGAGATACTGTGGCTTTCACGAAAATTTCCTCTAAAATTAAATTGTCATTGAACTCTTTGTCTTGAATAAAAACTGAAGAGGCCTGAATGCATAGTTTTTCTTGAATAATTTAAACATCTTTCTAAGATTATTTTTCCTTCCTTCACAAAGGAATAGCAATATACAGAATTATGTTTATTGTTGAGATAAATAACAAATTATGCTTATTCTTTCTGACACTTGTTTTCAGCATGTATATCTGGTCCTCAAAAGGAAGAAAAAATTCGACTTACACAAAAACGTAGTATTTAACTTTAAAATGCATTACAATAACAATAAGCTCGTCTACTAAAAAAATTGTTACATTAAACCACGATATTATTTTCCAACAGTTAATCTTACAAAAATTTTATAATCCTGTAAGCATAAAGCCGCGTTAATCTATGCGTGATGCCATGCTGTGTTAACGTGAAATCATAATTAGCTCTTACTAATTGCAGTGAAATACAATATCGAGATTTTTTTGGTGTCCATTTATTCAGGTAAAAAACATTCTTTTTTCCCCTCGCATGACTAAGGAGATTAAAATGCTTTTTCCGAACACGTCTGTTTGTTAAAGTCCGTTGAAAGATAATTTAAAGGCTACGCTTGAATAAGAATTTCAAACATTACTAATGCTTTTGTATGTGAACTTATTTTTAATGCCAGACTGTTGAATTCATTGAATCGATGTTTCCTTAATTTTGAATTACTTAGAATAGATTTAAAAATGAAGCTCTGTTGGCATTCATAAAAATCGCAGGCACCATGCCAGAATCAAGAATATGTTTTATTTCATTGTTTTCACTTATATGGGCTTTATAAAATATTATTCGATGACATGACAAAAAATAACATATATTGACAAAAAATAATATATGTAAAAGAGAAGATTTCACAGATTTGTGGCTCTAACATTGTGTCAACAATATTAACCACCAGTAGTGTATTATTAACTTAGTCACTTTGTATTATTAACTTCAAACCCTTTGTGTGGGGAAACTTTAGACATTAAACATATGAGTTAATGCAAAGTAAAAATGAACTAATTCAGTAAATTGATTTATTTGAAGAAATTAAATAATGAAAAATCTGCACAAAAGTATGTATATATTTTGCACTGTGATAAGGAAACGATACATAAGGCCATCGAATTTGAATGACGTAATCCTACTGCGAATATGGGCATGTGGAAGCCCAAATTTGAAATTTGTAATTTGTTTTATTATTGATTTCATATTTTGTAAAACTTTAATACATTTTTTATTAACAAACTCAAGGATGTCAAAGCGAGAAATGGCAAATGTTGTACATAAAAAACACTTTTATTTCCAGCGCGTGAGACTGCGTATCGGAAATTCTCAAGATATGCTCAATTTAAAACTATTTTGCGATATTGCTCATCATCATGAATTTCTAATTTTCAAATATGCGTACAAAATTAGAAAATGAAATCCTCAAATTTACTTTAACTTTTTGGTCCTTTTGATTCTGTTCAGAAAATATATTCCAAATTTCTCATTTAAATGATATCAACGCAAATATATAAGACAAATATATAAATAACACAAATATGGATAAATATTAAGATTAATTTTAAACTCCCTTTCTTTAAGATAAATTTCCTTAATTTATATTCACACAAATTTCAGTGTACAGATATCAGTTTGAAAATTTAAAAAGGCCATTGCAATAACAAATAACTAAAATAAGATAGGCTTAGACCTGTAGTATGTGACGGGAGTGATCTACATTTTATAGATACATTCTTTTTTACAAAAGGAATTCTATGTTCTCTTAAATAACATGTTTATTTCAGTAAGATATCTAGAAAAAAAAAAAAAAAAAAAAAAAACAGAAATAAAATTTCTTTCATCATCGTTATTTCTCAGTTGAAGTATGTTTTGTGTTTTTCTGTCAGGCATTTCATGTGAGGATCTTCTCACTTTATTTCCCAAGGGTTTTGTACTACTTTAATATAGTCTCCTTGACAACCTCACATATCATACCGGATATTACGAAGACCTTTTCAACTATGTTTTTTTTATTCTCAAATTTATGTTGAGGATTTACTTCTTTTCTGGTAAGTTGCGAATACTTCTCTCCCTTCCCCGATAAATCAGGGGGGTTGTTAAATACTTTTAAACAAAATATGCTTATAGTTTTCCATGGAAAAAATTTAAAAAAAAAACTAGTAAACATATCTTTATTATTTTTTAAATGTAACTGTTAATTTCAGAAACTCGCATTTTATTCTATTTATTTTTAAATTGTAAATTTCTCAGTCTGACTGAAGATAAGACTGATAATACGTAAACATCAGCAACTAAGATATTAAATCTATTTGGAATTTTGTGTGGGATCCCGTATTTTCCATGTGCAACACATCTCTGAATATGCTATATACTGACATGTCTTTTATTTTTCTGTTATAAAAATGATTGTACGAACGTCCTGACTAAGAAAAATTTTACCAATTGACAAAACACAAAGAATTCAAAGTGCTATCTGAATTTTTTTCCCAATTATCTGTCATGCATAGTTACGTATGGTTTTCTAATAACACATTAGTAAATTGAAAACATATCTGCATAATATGTTCACAGTAATACTAATTGCAAATGTTAGTTTTTATTCAGATTTTATTTTGTATGAAACATCTCAATATATTTCGAAAGACAGAATACTGACTCACTAACTTTTCAAGATATTTTTTCCTCTTCAAAAATACGAATAGCAGTAGGCAGTAAGTACTGACCGCTCAAATAAGATCCTATTTCAAAATATGAATAGCAGTGGTCAGTAAGTACTTAGATAAGATCCGATTTCAAAATATGAATAGCAGTGGTCAGTAAGTACTGACTACTCAGTTGAGATCCTAAGAGATCTGGGAGAAGATTTATATGGATGAATCAAGAATTCCGCAAATAAAAGCATCCGGAAAAACAAACATACAAGCATATAAAAGTAGGCACAAGAAGTGGGCGACACATCAGAAATTCATCATTGGTCTTTACATGCATAATCCTGCCTCACTTACTGTGCAGTTCCAGTCCAGATTTGAGGGACTTAAGCAGTCGGAACATCTCCCACCTCTCATCTCCTCTCACCAGTCTCTCTACAGGACTTTCAGTTTTCCATAGGAGTAACAGGTACAAGTAAGGGTCAGCAGTTGTACGGTTGTTGTCCCACTACGTAAGCTGTGCAATGCCTTCAAAGTTTTGATAGACAGCATGCCGGGAGATGATCTGAGGGTCTTCCATCCCTCTTTCTCTACCATCCAAACCACTCGAGGAGACATTTGGTAACCAGAATTTTGAGTATCATCTTACCCAACAGATACTAAAAGCTTACAAACGTTTATGACTTTTCCGGGATTTGACCCGTATCCATCGTAGCGGCAGTCTGCGTCAATAACCGCTGGACCTGATGGCAGCAGCATTTCAAACCAGGTAATATGAAATGCACAAAATTACAGTTACTTTTACAGAATTTGCTACCCAAATTTTATAGTTACAATTACGTCCACTAGACAGGTCTGATATCAAACTCTGAAACACTGCTTAACATGGCTCTTGAATTATCACTGCAACAAATCAGCGTTATGATTATCTGTTACAAAACAATATTTAGTAATGATTTGACAGACGTTCTTGGAACACCTCTGCGTTCAGTTTGTACAATTTATACAGGATAGTGCACAATCGGTTTTACTTTTTAGATTTTGTAGACAGTGGGACAATTCACCATCAATATCAATTTGAAGATTCTTCCAGAAATTTGGATTTGAAACTGTGCAATTTTAATTTTTAGCTACTTTTAATTCCTTGATCCTGTTCCTGATTGACTGGAAATGTTAACATTATTTATCGGAAGTACGTAGACATCTTACACTTTCAGGTTTGAAACCGTATATACTCTATTTTTCAAAGGTGTTTCAGTTCTTTGTTTAAATATTCATTTACGTTTGAATAAAAGATTTGAAAAAGTACTTTTATT